TGAAATGCCTTCGAGATTCACATCTAGACTTTGTTAATACTCCAATCACAAATTATATCTTGAAGACGCTACTATTGTTCGAATGCGAAAAGCACAGTAAGGAGCATGAGTGGGAAGAGGCTTTTATTGGAGATCGTGTTATAGGTACCTTCTTGATTCTCTAACAACAACAAACTCCTGTGAACAAAAGTTTTCGTTCAACTGGAAATGGAGAATAAATGCTTTAAAAAAATAGGCAAAAAAGTAATAAAGATGTAGGAAACAGAGAACATCAAAAAAACAGAGTTTCATTACTTCTACTTTTCATTCTTCTTTTTTATAGCAAGCTTATCTCCACTTTTGCTAAAATAAATAGATAAATAAATATATATATATATAATGTACTTCTTTTTTCAAAACAAACAAGTTCCCTTCCGAACTAAAAACGAAGACAGAAAAATAAAATAAAACTAAAAATTCCGTCAAAATATAAGTGCAAAAAAGTGAGTTTAATGCATAAATAATATTGTTTTGAACTATACCAATAAAAAATTTTCAAGAATCAACTAAAACAATCAAGAAAATAAAAAATATTTCTCTGCATACAAGCGTTTTCTACTGTTATAAGTACCGTATCTTTTTCAAAAACATTTATCACTTCTATGAGCCCATTTTATGACGTCCAAATTACGTGTACTTGCTATACCAAAAGGTCATAGAACTGTCAACGATGTAAATCCTGTTTATTGATGTAATTGCAGGCGTCTTACTGCAACTTGTTTCCTGCCTTCAGTGCCGAAAATGCCCACATTACTTTCTACCACAACTTGATCTCCTCAGGAATAAACCAAGCCATCTATTAGATCAAAGTGCCAAGCTGACTTGGAATCTTGTTAGGCAACTTATGCTCAACTCAAGAGCTTTAGAAAATTTGTGACTCAATTCTTTTCTATGTCCTATGTATACATTCCTAACGTGATCACTAAAAACTGATGCCAAACAACTGTGCTTTTGCTCCGCTTATGAACTGTGTTTGTATAGTGGTTTAAAAAACCCCATTTAAAAAACAGTCTTTGCCACTCATGCAATAATAAAAAAAGTCCTAAAATTAAAGCTTCTAGCATTAAACTTTCTTAAAGTAATTACGTAAAAGCAACCAATTTGGCAAGAGGCGAAAAAATAAAAAAACTTCATCCAAACTGTCAAAGCACCCGTAGAATAAGCCACTAGATCATTTCTACTACGGCCTTTCAGGAGAAATTTTCTAATAACGTATTTACAAAAAATGAACGGCAGAAAATGCTCATCAATTAATTATTTAACTATGAAATTTAAGCGCGGTAAAAATGGCCGTATCATTAGCAGCAGCAGTCGCAGTTTCAGTTGCGGTGGCCATTTGGTTGCAACAGTATGCACACAGCTGTTCGCCCGGATACTCAGTCGCGCCTTTATGCCTTCCACTGAGGCCAACAACATAAGAGATCAATAAAACAACATTTTCCGCATTAAAATCCCTTCTCAGATACACTTTTGAATCACAATCCTTACCATAAAATAACGCCATTGTTCCTCCTATTTTTAATTATTATTTAAATAAAAAAATCTAAGTCAAAACTTCCCAGCTTGAACGAACTATTATAAGCGAATTTTTCAAAGAACTATTTAAACTGTTAAAACTCCACAAATTTAATGTTTAGAAACATTAAAATTTTAACAAAATTAATCAACACCCTGTTCCTAAAAAAGTCAGAAAATGAGACCTTTGGATCCTGCTGCTTATATATCGGATGTTCTTCGTCAGCGTCAAAATACAATTCAGATCCGGTTATTGAGAGAGTTCCAGGAACAACAATACCTGGTGCTATTAAACGTCCAAAAGTGCTGTACGCTGCCTCTTCTAAAGTCCAACACTTAAAAGAGTATGAAAGCTAACATTATTCTATAATTTAAACAAATAAATTCCTAATAACAACGAAAGATATCATAATTCTATAATATAAGTGATGTAAAAAGCAGAAGCACTGTGAAACAAAATGAGCTCCCCAAAACCGGCGTGAAGATTATCTGAGAAACTAATGTCACCAGCTCTTCATCAAGAAAAGAAAAAGAAGAGAAGACGCACCAGAAGACTATTGCTGAGCAATAAAAAAAAATAGAAATTTTTTCAAGAGTTAAAGAAATTATTCAAAGCAATCATAAATGTACAGAAAACCTGATCAAATTTTCCGACAGTTACAGCAATTAAATATGAAAGTCATTCTCAGAATTCTTTCCCCAAACTGAAGTTCAAACACAATTTCCTACTTCACACAAATTAGTTGAAAAGCAACAGACCACGTTAAATTTAGGTAAACTGGGCAATTACACCAATCATAATCATCGTAGAAGTAATGAGAAGATCAGACTTCAAATATGAACGAATATGAAAACCCTAACGCCAAGTCAGTTACAACATATTAAGACACAAATTATGTAGAGCAGGTAAACGTGTAATTGTATGTTGAAATAAAGAACTAATTCTTTAGAAGCAATCCAAGCAGAAACACGTTTTTCCATCTATATGATGAGATCTGTCCTCTAATTTATAGACAATCAAATAGTGAAGACCATAAAAGTTTTACGACCATTCCAATCCCACAAATAGCAAACAGCAATTAATAAATAAAAGCAAGAATTACAAAAAATAAAATTTAGAAACTAAAAATGTCAATTTTTCAAATTTAACGTTTTCCAAAAATCTTTTTTTTTGCAGCAAGAAAAAATACATTATTTGGCACAAAAAAAAAACCAAATAAAAGAAAGCCACGTGAGCACTGAAATAGTAATTAGAAACGGCGACAACAACAATAACTAGCTATCTACTTTCATTACATTAGTGAACTTTATTTCATCCAAACAGTCCTCTTTGGTGTCCCTAATCAAAATCCGTCAAAGACTTGCCAAAGTTAAGTCATTAATGTCATCAAGTCCTTCTTTTTATTTGCAATGTTTACAGCTGTTTTTAGAATGCATGAAATTTCGCTCAGAAGACGCACGCAACAGCATAATTGTTATATATCGTTTTCACCTATTTTCTGCTGCTCCTATAATTTTCTTCAGTATATTACATGAACAAGAAAAAAAAAACAAAATTGGTTGGCAACGACGTTTCTATTTGTAGTGAAGTCTTAAAAATAGGCAAATTTCAAAAATTGATTTTCAAGAAATTAATCCCTTAAGACGTCCAGTAATCCTTTCAAGAAACTACTTTATGCATAACTTCACCTATCAGCCACAGTTGTAATGCTAATTTTGATAAACTAAAACTTCAGCTTCAGCCAAACTTTTGTCATAAAAGTAAGATGCGTTTAAATTTTCAAAAGCAAAGAATTATTCAATAAACCAGACTGCAAAAACAATGTACAAAAAATTTAAGAATTAAAAAACAGATTTAAAAAAATAAATTTGAAATAAAAAGTAAATTAGTCAAAAAGATCCTCTAAAATCCAGAAAAATTCAAAACTTATGACGTTTCCTCCACGTCTGTAAAATTTCTTTTACTTTTTTTCACAGAATACTAAAAACCTTACAATATTTTATTTCAAATCTTGAAAGTTTTTTTTCCAGACACAATTTACATGTTCCAGAAAGAAAAGTAACTGGCAATTTTACTAGCCAAATGTTAAATCATGAAGACTCTCTTAAGGCAGCACCTTTATAAACTGTTAAAAAAGTAAGAATCCCTTCACAATTCCCACTTAGTTTTTTTTTTTTTTTTTTTTTTTT